GAAGTGTTAAAGGGACTTATTTAGGAAAAAGAAGATAAAAAACTATGAACAGTATAATGGCAATAAATACATTTTTATCAACAATTGAATCTAAAAAACAAACTAAGCAAATGAGAAGAATGGAGAAAAATCATGGATAAAAGAGCATTTGATATTTGATAGATGGGAGGGGGGTGTGGGGGAATGGGTGAAGAGGTGAGGGGATTAAGAAGTTCAAATTGGTAGGCACAGAATAGAAAGGGGAGTGTTTAGAACAGTATAGGAAATTGAGTGGCCAAAGAACTTATATGCATGACCCCTGGGCATGAATGAAGGTGGAGAGTGGGGATTGCCAGAGGGAATGGAGTATACTGGGTGGAGCTGGTAAAGGGGAAAAATTTGGGATTCACTGTAATAGCATAAACAGTAAAATGTATTTTTAAAATTTTATGATTAAGTAAATAAATAAATAAAATAAACTTTACATCATCACCTCAAATAAAACACTAGTTTTCTTTGCCAAAATTAATCACCATAAAAGAAACACAATAAAAATAAAGTGTTACTATATTGTAGGCATATATCTTTGATTATGAAAGGCTCTGCACCTAGGCCTCCTCTCTCTTCCTTGTAAAGGGAAATACACAAGTATTGGAGAGACAGTTAAAGATACACTAGCCGTAAATGAGGTTTTCTCCTGGTATAAACAGAATGATTAAAGTAAATTTGAAAAGCAATTATTTTCCCCCTCTAAGTGAGTTGATGTTCTCTCATGCTGTGTCCGTGGACCACTTGAGATCTTTTGTGCCACTAGACCTCTCAGAGTTACTGAGAGTCTTGTTAAAACACAGACAGCTGATTCAGTAGGTCTGGTCTGGGGCTTGAAATGTGCATTTGCAGAAAGGTTCCAAGCCATGCTGGTGCTGTTGGTCTGGGGAACACAGTTTGAGAGCCACTGACCTCATCACATCATTTCTCACTTTAGGAATAACTGGGTTGGGAAAGGCATCATGACAGGTGCAAAGCAAAAACAATTGCAAATCTCAAACAGGGGTAGGCCTGCTTCCATCTGTTGTTGACAATTTTCCTCTTAAAGAGCAACCAACCCAGGCCCAGCACTAACATCCCTGAGAGTGGTTATGCTCTCTAGAATCACTCACTTCCTGTAGGTTGAAACCTGAATTACAATTTGTAGCTGCTCTGACCTTAGTCAAACTTCCCCTTAATCTCACTCTGCCAGTGGAGAAGGAAGTAGGTGAGAATTCAAACTACTTCCGGGGGAAAGTCCCATTCATATAACTTCTCCAAGAGCCTGTTAATTCCAGAAGATAGATGATAATGAGAAATGGGGGAGTGGGGGAGGGAGGGTGTGTGTGTGTGTGTGTTTAAAGCTGACTAAACTCAGTGGAATGAGTATTTAAGCAATTGTGGAGTTTTACAAGTCAGGACTCCAAAAACCTATTCCTGATCTTTTTCCTTCTAGTGCATTAACATTGTTTCTATGGAAAGATGGAGTCTGTGTTCTTGATTTATAGATACACAACTAGAATATAGCCAGGGTTGTACTAAAAATATCATCCCTTTCCCTCACCCAGATGTTGAATCATGTGAGAAACAAGATAAGAAATATGATAACCGGACACAAAATATCATGTATTTTGGAGAATGTGGCTTAGGGCTTCCTAATGCTGACACCTTTTCCTCCCAGGTACAACAGTTGTGAATATTTAGGTTCTCCTGCAGAAGGCAAAAGGCAGGATCTGAGGTGAGTGTTCCCAATTTATTCTTCTGAAATAACTCACTTCATCTCACTTAGGGCAGAGTGAATAAAGGCATGCCCAGAGACCAGGAGCATGACACTCACTGAGTCCCCTCCACATGCCAGGAAACAGTGGCGGGAAGGAAGAAGCATTTCCCTTAATGAGAACTTCTGTGTATCTTGTGTCTATAATTTGGGGGTGTTGCAACCTGATGTGGTTTGGTTAGGAGGGGGCATATAAAAGGATGATTGCTGGTTCACACTGTGAAGGCTGCCTGACTTTCTCATTGACTATGTTTTCCTAGGTAAGGCCACGGATGAGTAAGGCAGGCAGGTGTTTAGTGGGCCTCCATCCCTTCCTGGTCACTCTACATTTTATGTGCAGCCCCGAAGTGATACAGAAAACCAGAGTAAATATTGACACTGATGTAATATAATGGCATTAGCAGATGTTGGCTCCGTGGGTCCTACTCTCTTGATATCATGAACCCAAGACAAGATAGATCAGTGAGCTGTTCCTCATTCAGGAGACAGGATTTGAGACCCTGCAGCTAATTTTGTGACCTCATGCCACTTTTAAAATTTTCCTAGATTCCTGGTTAGCCTTTTATAAAGTGAATGTAGTAGGTTGAAATGCCATGTTAAAATGGCAAAGGGAGGCCATCTTTGCAATACATGTGTAAAGAGCTCTTACAACTCAAAAATAAGACAACATACAACTCAACTAAAAATTGGGCAAATCATTCAAAAAATATTTTACAAAAGAGGGGATATGCATGGCTAATAAGCACATGATAAGATGCTCAGGGGAGAAAGGTATAAGGAGACTAAATGGTAATGGGAAAGGGTACAATAAAAATAAAATAAATAAATAAATAAATAAAAGTTACCACTGTGTGGAAAAAAAAAGATGCTCAGTGTCATTTGTCATCAGGAGATACAAGTTATAACCAAAGTGAGAGTATGTAGAGTACATACCTACCCTTTGGGATGCTTAATATTAAAAGACTGATAGTAACAAAGTGTTGACAAGGGTGAGTAGCAGCTGAAGCTCATATGTCGCTGATGGGAATATAAAATGGTACAACTATGAAAAACACTTTCATGATTTTTTAAAAGTTAAATATATTCCTACAATATGATGAAGCCATTTCATTCCTGAGTATTTACCCAAGAGAAATGAAAGCATATACCCACACAAGGGCATGTACATAATTACTCATAACACCTTTTTTTTGTAATAGTTGAAAAACTGGAAACAAGTCAAATGTCCATCAACAGATGAATAGATAAACCATGATATATCCAGCATATCTATTATCACTATTCAGAAATAAGAAAAAAACTATTAATACATACAACATGAATGAATCTTAAAATAATTATGCCGAGTAAAAGGATCCAGATCAAAAAGTAAAAACCCCAAACCCAGTACATCTGTATGATTGCATTTACATAAAATTCTAGAAAATGCAAACTAACCTGTAGTGACAGAAACCAGATCAGCGGTCACCGCAGACCGGGGATGCGGGGAAGGATGGACACAAGAGAACGTTTGGGGATTATGAGAATGTTTGATATCTTGATTACAGCGATACTTTCATGGCTGTATGCCTATGTCAAGACTTTAAATAGTACTTGCATTTTACTATACATAAATTATATGTCAATAATATTGTAAAAGAAAGAAGAAAGGGAAGGAATGCAGGAACGCAGGAATGCAGGAAGGAAGGAAAGAAGGGAGGGAGGAAGGGCTGATACATACAGTAACGTGGAAGAATTTCAAAATGATTGTGCTGAGAAGGAGACGCCAAACATATAGTACACACTGTATGACTCCATTTTTATACAATTCTAGAAAAAGCTAACTACTCTCTAGTGACAAAAAGCAGATCAGTGGTTGCCTGGGTTTGGAGGAAAAGGGAGGAATAAATTGTGAAGGGGAGAGAGAAAACCTCAGGGTGTGATAGAAACATTCTGTATTTTGATTGTGATGGTGCATTCACTTGTATATACATCTATCAAAACTCATGGAATTTTACACTTTAAGTGGATTTATCTATTGATCAAATTATATCTACCTCAATAAAGTGACTTTTAAAAGAAAAAAAAGATTTTTAAAAGGCTTTTTTGTTTATCTTCTCATGCCAGGAATCATTCAAGTTAAGAAAACAGCACAAAACATGGGCCTGAGAGGTGTCTTTGCTTGGGAAAGATATGTAAATGGACCTTTTAGCTTGCTAAGCCAACCCCAAATCACATTGTTGAATGGAGACTTTTGAGACAACAAGAAAGTAACCTGCTATGTAATAATATGAAAAATTTTGTTTTCACTAAGGTCAAGGTTAAAGCTCTGGCTAATATTCACAAGGTGTTAATTGGCTATGTTCCTCAGGCTGGGGCTACACCCCCCGGGGAGTTGGGGTCCTGGGTTTTAAAGAGGGAGGACTGGATTAAGAAGATCCTCATCCAATGGATAAGCTGGTTCCTGAAATGGGGTGAGAGGTCAGGGGCTGAAGAGCAGCAGGTAAGTAGAGAAACCGGGAGGCGGCTCCATGAGCAGTGAACAACCAGGAATGAAGAGATGGAGTCATCTGTTCTCAATTTTTCCCTTTTCTACACTGTATTTCCCTCTTCTTGACCTCTCACCCACAAGCCTGCAGTAAACTTAGGTTAAATATCACAAAAATTGATATTAACTGTGTTTGAGGATATTAATGGAGGTGGGGGGAGGGTGCGGCAAGGCTGGGAGGCTGTGGCCAGGTAGTGTGATCTGTGAATCTGTGGACAGCACCAAAGCTTGGAGACCAAGTTGCTGGATGTGACTGTCAGGCCCAGAGCAGTGATCCACAGTGAAAGGGGACAAGAGCTAACAACAAACAGGGGAAACATGTAAGCACTCCTCAGGGATTCTTGGAGCCACGGGGGGTTGGGGGGGAGAAAATGGATTTCCTGGATCAGTGGGGTGGGGTGTGGGGGGGTGACTGAATCACAGATGATAGCCCTGTGTTAAGGAAATCCTGACCTCCTAAAAGGGGGTAGGTTGAGGACGTTTGGGCTATAAAGAGATTAACTGCCATTACCTGCCACCACCACCCCACCTCTCAAGGATGTTTGAGCTCTCCTGAGTTATTTTGGACTATGAGTCAGAAAGAGTTCAGAAGGCCAGGTTTATCTCTTCTATCTGAAAAACTCAACTGAGACCTAGAGTATATGACCAACGTTAAGGAGTAATTGCCTTTGGCTGATCTGACGTCAGTTAATGACTGGACTTTGTACCTGAAAGAGAGTTAAAACTAAAGATAGTTGGGGTGGGGGGAACCATTTCCTCCTTGGATTACCTAGCAAGAAGATTGAAAATGCAAGCCTTTGTTCACCTCACTCTTTTCACCCTCCTTTTTGTAATTTCAGGTAAGGAATATTTAAAAACTTTATATTCTTTTAATCATGTTTGTTGTCTTTGAGGTGGAATCAACAGGCTTTAGCTGCTAATTCCCACAGCCCAACAGATGGGCTATATTGTGGATGAAATTTCCTCTCCAACTTCGCTCAAAGACACAAGGCATTTCAGTCTGTGATGAAGGTAGATAGAACAGTAGTAAGGAGGCCTCTGGACTAAGAGTTGGGGTTCAGCAAACCAGAGATTTGTCCTTAAGAGTTCCTGAGACCAGAGAAGCATGACTTGGTAGGTTCCAAGGGCCCTGTGCCCTGCTCTTTGACCTGCACATGTCATTTGGACCCTTAGGCACTATAGGGACCTGGTTTAATCTCTGCTTCTGCCATCAGAGTCTTGTGCCCCCTTATATGTGGGAATTAAAGGTTTACCCCCAGGTAAACCTCTTAACCCCTCTGACTATTGGTTCAGTCTTCTATTAAATGTGTCTCTCACATCTATGTCCCAGGTCCTACCAGGCACAGGATAAGCCCTTGATAAATGTGAATAGTAGGAATAGGAGTAGCAGCAGTCAAAATGACTGGCTGGTAGACTATTTTCTTTTTTAAAGTATTTTTTAATTATATTTTATGGATTGTGCTATTACAGTCATCCCAATTTTCCCCCTTTGTTTCCCTCCGCCCATCTGCCCCCGACCCTCTGCTCACTCAGGCAATCCCACACCATTGTCCATGTCCATGGGTCATGCATATGTGTTCTTTGGCTATGCTATTTCCAATACTGTACATTTTTTCTTTTTCTTAAAGATTTTATTTTATTATTATTAGAGAGAGGGTAAGGGAGAGAGAAAGAGAGGGAGAGAAACACAGATCAATATGTGATAGATACATTTATGAATTGGTTGCCTCTCTTACACCCCCAGTGGGGACCTGGCCCATGATCCAGGCATGTGCCCTGACCAGGAATTGAACCGGTGACCTTTTGGTTTGCATGCCTGTGCTCAGTCCACTGAGCCACACCAGCCAGGGCTCTATGCTGTACTTTACATTCCTATAACTATTATGCAATTACCAACTGTACTTCTTAATTCCCTCACCTTTTTTGCCCATCCCAACAACCCCCTCATACCTGGCAACCATCAAAATGTTCTCTGTATGTATGATTCTGTTTCTGTTCTGCTTGTTTGTTACTTGTTTTTTAGATTCAATTTTTAATAGCTGTATTTGTTGTAATTTTTTAAAATATATTTTATTTATTTATTTTTAGGGAGAGGGGAAAGGGGGAAGAGAGAGAAGGAGAGAAACATCAATGTGTGGTTGCTTATCACATGCCCCCTACCGGGGACCTGGCCTGCAACCCAGGCATGTATCCTGAGTGGGAACTGAACCAGTGACCCTTTGGTTTGTAGGCCCATGTTTAGTCCACTGAGCTATACCAGCCAGGGCTATTTGTTGTCATTTTACTCTTCATATCTTTTATATTCTTCTTCTTTTTAAAGAAGATCCTTTAACATTTCATATAATACTGGTTTGGTGGTGATGAATTCTTTTAGCTTTTTCTTGTATGGGAAGCTGTTTATCTGTCCTTTAATTCTAAATGATAGCTTTTCTGGGTAGCATAATCTTGGTTGTAGGTAAGCTTTTCATCACTTTGAATATTTCTTGCCAATCCCTTCTAGCCTGAAAAGTTTGGGTTTTTTTTTGAGAAGTCAGCTGACAGTAAGCTGGGGGCTCTTTTTAGGTAACTGACTGCTTTTTTCTTGCTGCTTTTAAGAATCTCTCTTTATCTTTAACCTTTGGCATTGTAATTATGATGTGTCTTGGGGTGGACCTCTTTGAGTTTATCTTGTTTGGGACTCTGTGCTTCCTGGACTTGTATGTCTATTTCCTTCTCCAAGTTAGGGATGTTTTCTCTCATTATTTTTTAAAATAGGTTTCCAATTTCCTGCTCTCTTTTCCTTTCTCGCACCCCTATGATGCGAATGTTGGTATGCTCAAAGTTTTCCCAGAGACTCCTTACACTAGCTTCATTTTTTGGATTCATTTTTCTTCTTGGCATTCTGTTTGGTTATTTTTTGCTTCCTTATATTCCAAATCACTGAATTTATTATCAGTTTTATCTACTCTACTGTTGATTCCCTGTAAATTGTTTTTTATTTTAATTAGTGTATCCTTCATTTATGACTGGTTCTTTTTTATGGATTCTATGCCGTTTTTTATGCTGTTCAAGTTCTAAGTTCACTGAGCATCCTTATAACTGTTTTATATTTTTATAGTGTTTTAAGCTCTACATCTAGCAGATTGCTTGTCTCCATTTTGTTTAGTTCTTTCCCGGGAGTTTTCTTCTGTTCTTTCATTTGGGCCATGTTTTTTTGTCTCCTAGTTTTGGCAGGCTCCCTGTGTTTGTTTCTGTGTATTAGGTAGAGCTGCTACATCTCCCAGGCTTGGTAGTGTTTCCTAATGTAGCAGGTGTCCTGTACAGTCCAGTGGCACAGCCTCCTCTATTACCCAAGTTGGGTGTTCAAGGTGTGCCCACTGTGTGGGCTGAGTACACCCTCCTGTTGTAGTTGAGCCTTCAGTGCTCTTGACACATCCATGGTCAGCCACCATCTGTGTTCAGTCGGTGGTCACACAGCATAAGCTACAAAATGACCCAAAGATTGGTGCTACTTTTGCTGGGCTTGGAGGTGCCCAGGCAAGACCTAACTGTGACCAAGGCTGGCTGCTGCTAGTGGCAGACCTAGGGCCACTTAGGAAGAGGTACAGGGCTCACTGAAGCCAGATGCTGCTTGTTTGAGATAATTTAAGGAAATCTGAAATGTAGGCCAAGACAAGCCATTCATATGGAAAAGCCACTGGAAAAGCCATTGGTTGGGTGTGCCTGAATGTTGGTTGGGACCGGGTCTCAGGGAATCCCCAGGGTGGGGCAAACAGTGTGAGCCAGGTTGACAAGTGTCAGATATGGTGCCTGCCTGCTGGCTCTGTAGCTCTGCAGGAGGAGGGCTCAGAAAAGGAATAATGGCCTCTGCCAATACTTTTGTCTGGTAGAAAGCTGTCCCCTATCTCTTGTCCTGGTTCCAGACAATGCAGCTTCTCCCCATATGTCTCTGGTGCCTTTCAAGCTGCTGCCTTCAGGCTAGAGCTGAGAGGGAGTGAGTCTGAGTAAGTCTGTGCTTGGGCCCTTTAAAAGGAACTACCAGGGATTCCAGCAGTTTCTGTCTTCCACAGCCTCCATCCCAGCTGGTTTCTGCAACCAGAAGTTATGGAGACTTATCTTCCTGGCTCTGAAACCCTGGGCCAGGGGGCCTCATGTGGGGCTGAGACCCCTTGCTCCTGAGGTATCCCTCCCAGTTTTTATCTCCCACATTTTTATCTATGGCAGTGGAACCAGTTCATACACGTCTCTGCCCCTCCTACCAGTCTCAGTGTATTTTGTTCTTTATTTCTATAATTTCTAACGGTTCTGAATGATGGTTGTTCTATAGTTTAGTTGTAATTTTATGTGGCTATGAGAGAAGGTAAGCTGTGTTTATGTATGCTGCCATCTTGATCAGAAATCTGGACTCTTTTCTGCCCCCAGAAGAGCAATTACTTATCTCTTGGGAATGACTGTTTAAGCCAGTCCCTGTTCAGGTGGAGAGCCAGGGACTCAGACCTGGGGGGGATCCTCATTACTTTTCCATATTCATAGAAATTGTTTTCTCACTTTTCTTAATAATTTTTTAACTGATTGTCCACGTCTGAGTTCTTAATGACAATAAGGGTTCTAGGCATTTACTGACCCATATGTCCAAGGAATCTTAACAGTTAAAAAAAGGCAACTTAGATGATCACCATAGCCCTTAGGGCAAAGACCATCTCCATTCTACTCTAAAAAGTTCACGTGTCTAAAATTATTAATGGGTAAATGTTACTAGAAAAATATTTTTGGAACAAGTTTAATACACACTTAATAAGTTTTTTTTAATTTCATAATTCTTTAAACACATTCTTTCCCTTCTCTCCCTCATATCTATCAACAGCTAAAATTCCATGTAATGGAAAATTCTGGCAATTGCCTTGAACTGTTAAAAGACAAAGGATTTCACTTCCAGGCTATAACAGCGCCACCTGGTGACACTTTTAATTGTCCTCACTGAGGGCTACTCTGAGGAATATGAAACCCAGATTGACAGTTCTGCGACTACAGGCATAAATATTACTTCTTGGTGCTCATGAACTCTTTGTCATATTTTTAGTAACATTTCCCTGTTTTGCCTAGTTAATTTTTAATTTGATCTATTGTGTGGTTTTTTGGTGTGTGTTTTTGGAAGTCACGTATTTTGGGTTTTAATGTGGCCAACTACACAGTAAGTTCTCATCTAACATTGTAGATAGATTCTACAACTTAAAGCAAAGTGATGTATAATGAAACCAGTTATACCATAGGTAAATTAATACAAACAATAGTTAAGTTCCTACAATATCGCACCAAAGTTATAGCAAAAAGATGTTGAATGAGAACAACATTATTTGAGGATATATTGCATTTATTTTTCAGAAAAGAATTAATTGGGTGTCAATTACAGCTGACACTTGAACAACACAGGTTTCATTTTTTAAATCCTAGTATAAATGAACTCACGCAGTTCAGACCTGCATTTTTCAAGGGTCAACTCTTGTATTAAATAACAATTGCCATTATATATTTAACGTTCAGTCTTCTGAAACTTGGTATCTTTGTTCCTCATGCCTATTGCCACTTCAGCCACAGCTGCTACAAGTTCTACCCCCACTGCGATTACTGGCAACACCGGAACTGCTCCTGCCCTCCCCACCACTCCCGCACCTGCCAACAGCGCGACGACGTCCGCATCCGCAGGCCCCACCACTCCCGCGGGTGCCAACAGCGCGACGACGTCCGCGTCCGCCGGCCCCACCACTCCCGCACCTGCCAACAGCGCGACGACGTCCGCGTCCGCCGGCCCCACCACTCCCGCACCTGCCAACAGCGCGACGACTACGTCCGCGTCCGCCGGCCCCACCACTCCCGCACCTGCCAACAGCGCGACCACGTCCGCATCCGCCGGCCCCACCACTCCCGCACCTGCCAACAGCGCGACGACTACGTCCGCGTCCGCCGGCCCCACCACTCCCGCACCTGCCAACAGCGCGACCACGTCCGCGTCCGCCGGCCCCACCACTCCCGCACCTGCCAACAGCGCGACCACGTCCGCGTCCGCCGGCCCCACCACTCCCGCACCTGCCAACAGCGCGACCACGTCCGCATCCGCCGGCCCCACCACTCCCGCGGGTGCCAACAGCGCGACCACGTCCGCGTCCGCCGGCCCCACCACTCCCGCACCTGCCAACAGCGCGACCACGTCCGCATCCGCTGGCCCCACCACTCCCGCGGGTGCCAACAGCGCGACCACGTCCGCGTCCGCTGGCCCCACCACTCCCACAGGTGTCAACAACGTGACGTCCACAGGTGCCAACAACACAGTGCCCACGCCTGCCACCCCGACAGCTCCCGCAGGTACCAACAACACAACTCCCGCACCAGTTACCCCGACGGCTCCTACAACATTCATAAAAGATAATTCCCTAGGGACTGTCCCTTCAGTGACTTCCAGCAATGTCACTTCGCTAAAAACTAGCAACCCAAACCCTGATACCGCAAGTAAGAGTGGCTCCCGTACAAACACCTCACTGAGGAGTCAGGTTTGTGGAGGGCGGTAGGCAAATACGCTCTGCTGGAACAGGAAAGAGCTTGAAGAGACACAAGGTGTCCTGGGATATAAACCCTTGAAATTAAAAAATCTGAGTAAAAAAGGCTAGCAGTGTTGTCAGAGACCCTAAAAAATTACCCACAGTTCCATTCTGTTCTCCTTTCTTTACTAACCATCCTACCTCAAGCTACTTGCTCGACATAAAATATTTTTATGAACCTGGACTTTATAAAAACTATTTCTGTAGTTGCCCTCTCCCTGGGAGGTTTTTGGAAATAGTTTCAGTTTCTCAGTGAAGGTGAGGCCCAAATAAGCACCAACTCTTCAGCCCCACTGGTCTAGCTCCTTTACCTAAAGAAAGAGTCAATTCTACCCTGCCTCCTTATCAGATATTATCAAGAAATAGAACAAGTTATGATGGTGGCTGATCATTCTAATTGGGAGTTTGAGCCAATTTGTGGAGTTTGAGCCTGAGGGATAAAAAGCCAAACAGCAGTGCTCAAACAGTCCTGGACGTGACCAGGGTCATTGTCCAAAGGACAGATGTTCTGGGGACACCAGCAGTTGACCTCGAGCCAAAGTTGTTGAAACAGAAACCACTTGACTCATTTCCCAAAGCATGGTCTAGAATAGGGGTCAGCAAACTTTACTGATAAAGGCAAGCTAGTGCACACTTTAGGTTTTGTGGGCCACCACAGGGTCTCTCTTGTGACTGCTCCACCCTGTGATTTTGCCATAAAAGCCGTTATAGTCAATATGTAAATGAATGAGCCTGGTTGTGTCAACAATAAAACTTAATTTATAGACAAACAAACAAACAGAAGATTGGCCAGATCTGGCTCATAAGTTGTAGTTTGCCAACCCCTAGCTAAAAGAATCCTCAGACTGAGGCTTGAAGGATCCGGATAAACCCTGCTGTTCTCACAAAGAGAAACAGAGGCCCAGCAAGAGCCGCAACTTCCCAAGGTCAAAGAGCAAGTCCCACACTTAGATCTTGTCTTTTCCAGTGTCCTGAGATAGATCTAAAAAATGGGTGACTAGGCAAATGGATCCAGAACCTGTATCTAAGACCTTGTTTACAGTCTTTCATGTTTGGAGGGGCCACTCTGAAGGCTAGGTCAAGTGGGACACAGCTAGCTACACAGTCAGCTTCCCTGGAGTCAGGGAAGGGAGCTCTTCTAAGCCATTTCTGCTTCCCCAGACTTTCACTGTGCTCTGGCCCCATCACTAACTGTGGGGAGTGGGGCAAACCACTTTTCTCTGGGCTTCAACTTACTCCTCTGTACTAAGGTGTGACTAAAATAAGTAGCCACCAAAACCTTCCAGACATAACGTACAGTGACTTCATTCCTGGTCCACCAGGCAAGCCATGCCTCTCCTTTATTGCCAGAGAGAAGTCATCCCAGCAGTGACTTGTCTGCTGGGTCCAAAATGGAGCTTCACTCCGTTTCTTGCCTCAGTTTCCCAAATCATCCTTGCAATGTGATTGAGGCTTTTTAAAAAAGCCATTTATTTCACATAGAATATTGGCTTACATCTTGTCAGAGGGTAAGCCTTACTGTTGTTCATGAGATACTACTGCACTATGCCTCCTTTTGTCCCATGCAGCATTTTTTAAAACTCTTTTTTAAAAGGAATTTTAAAAATAGATTTCATTTTTTAGAGCAGGCCTAGATTCACAGCAAAATTGAGAGGAAGGTATGGAGATTTCCCATATGTCCCAAATACTGCATATGCACAACCTCCCTCATTGTCAACATCCCAGCCACAGCAGCGTGTTTGTTACAAGCGATGGGCCTACACTGACGTGCCATCCTCACCCAAAGTCCGAAGTTTACGTGAGGGTTCCCTGGTGGGGTTGGTGCATACTATGAGTTTTGAAAAATGCATATACCATCTTTATAGTATCACATAGATTATTTTCACTGCCCTAAAAGTATTCTGTGCTCCAACACTTCATTCTTTTCTCCCTCCAACCCCTGGCGACCACTGATATTTTAACTACCTATAGTTGTGCCTTTTCCAGAATATCATGTAGTTGGAATCACACAGTCTGCAGCTTTTCAGGTTGACTTCTTTCACTTGGTAATATGCATTTAAGTTTCCTTCATGTCCTTTCATGGTTTGATTATAATTTAGTGCTAAAAAGTTCATTTCCTTTTTTTTTCTCTGAATAATAGTCCACAATTTGGATGTACCACAGTTTGTTTATCCATTCACCTACTGAAGGACATTTTAGTTGTTTCCAAGTTTTTGGCATTTATGCATAAAGCCTCTGCAAGTAGCAGCGTGTAGGTTTTTGAGGGGACATATGTTTTTAACTCCTTTGGGTAAATAGCAAGGATCACACTCTAGATCATATGGTAAGAATCGGTTTAGTTTTGTAAGAAATCCCCAAACTGCCTTCCAAGTGGCTGTACCATTTTGCATTCCCACCAGCAATGCTGTTCCACATTCTCATCAGCACTATTTACTTTTATATTTTAAATAAAAATAAATTAGGCCCATTGTTATGGAAAAAGAAGCTTAAACAAGGTAAAAATAGATGTGGTAAAAATAGGTGCAGTAAAAACCAAACCTCCCTCCCATCCTCGACCCCTAGGGCCCAGATTTCCAGTTTCCTTCCCCATGGCCAGTTTCTTGCTTCTCCCTCCTTAGGTAATCTGCACAAATATAAACATATGTATTTGTGTTTTTGTATATTTCCCTTTCTTAATCACAAAAAGAGCATGTACCTGATATGTAGATTTTTTTTAAAAATCTAGTTCTACCTATAGATTCATAAGCATTCAGACATCTCTGAAGGTTGCCAGACAATTTATTCAGAAATCAAGGCTCAGAGTCATTTCATTTGAAAGAGATGAAGAACATGGCCAGCCAGGATCACCATTTGGCTACCAACCTTTTTTGCTTGAGCCCCATCTGATCTCTGAAGCTAGAAAAGATGCTGCACCCATCCTGGTCTGTGAGAACCAGCCAGTGGTGTAAAAACAATTACAATGTTATTCTTGCCACTTGTTCAAGTAGTCCACTCAGAAAGGGAGTGTCATTTCATCGATTACTCTTAGAATTTTCAGTGACTTAATCCACATTCTGCCCTTAACATCCGTTTTCTTTCATTACGGATCTTTATACCATGCATGCTAACATGGTATAACAGCATATAACATCCAGTCTCTTTTGGGATCCTCCTGCATATTCCTCCCTATGAGACAGGTATATATACCTTTCTTAAAAATATGATGCTTTCTATAAAATAGTTGTGAGAAGCCCTATCTAATGTTAAAAGATCAGACATCAAGGTTCTAGGAAGGTCCTTGAGGCCCAAACACTCCTGACTCCTTGGATTAGAAGACTACTCTGAACACACCCTTCCCCACCAACCTCTGACCTTTATTGTAGACAGCACTTGTTCCTGAATTTCAGCAACAAACTCCCTAGATACATTAGAAAATGTGTACTTATTTCTAGCTTTTCTAAGGGTTTGCCCTGAAATAATACAGCCAAGGAATAGAAAGTGCCCAGGAGGTGGACATGAGAATGGAAAAGCATGTTTCTGGGTGTTATTTGCTGACCTGTGTATTTTTTCATCTCTTTTTGCTCCATCTCAGATCTTTGCCAAGTTGAGTCCTGTGCCGGTGGCTCTTACTGTGTTAATCTGAATAGTACACATGTGTGCCTGTGTATAGATGGGTTTTACTATAATTCTTCCATCTGCAAAAAAGGTGAGTTACAAAGGAAGAACCCTGCAGAGCTGCATCTCATACCTAAAGTGGAATAGAAAACTTAAACTAATGTCCAAAAGAGCTGATGGAATACTAGAGAGGGGAAAATTTGAAGGCAGCAAAGGCCTGCAACGTAGAACAATAGCTCCTGCCTTTGTCTCAGTGGAACCAAGTGTGAGCGGAAATGAACCGTCAGGTGTGTGGGCTAGACCTGAAGTTCTCTTCCCTTCACCTGTCAAGGGAATGGTGTTGTGCGAACAAAATGAGAATGACGGGCCCTGAAAAAGTATCCAAAGACTGCACAAAGCAGTGCTGTTACCTGGGGGCACTGATACACCTTGAGACCACATGGTCCCACAAGCCTGTGAGCCTGGTATTCTGGGTTTGGTCAGTTCTCTGTCATAGGATTTGCTTGCTCCTGACAGCAAACCCCATTTTTAGAACCGTAAGAGCCTGTCAGGTCTAGAGATGGACTTCAGGTACTGATCACCATAACCTTGACATAACACTTTTTTCGTTAGATCAGCTATGTGCTATGAAGGTCCAAGGCTGTTTCTTGTATAATAAATTTTTGTATGTTTTGTGAATGAGAACTATCCCCCTTGCTAGAGCAAATCAATTGCACAGAAAACAAACTGATTGGCCACAGGGGTTAGAGGTGTTTCAAAAGCCAGAAGGATGTTCTTACTTTTGTTACTAATAATCTCATTTCTGGGGATCTTCTCAAAGTAAATGACCCCAAATATAGAAAGTCTTGGGCATGGAGATGTTCATTGTGACCTTTTTTGCCCCCTTTTAAATAATTAAAAATGCCAAAAACAAAAAATGACTACATCAATGAAGGGAACATATATTTCAGAGGATATTATGCAGTTTTAAAAAATAATGGTTATAAAGACCAAGTAATGATTTGGAAAAATGATTGTTATTTAATAATTAGTAAAGAAGATTTATGATATAAACTTGGAAGTATAATGATATAAACCATGCACAGGGAAAAAAGGAGTTGGGAGAAATATAGGTTTCCCTATCTACCTGAAAGTAGGTCATCCTAATGAAATCTTTTGTAAACTTAAGTGGTATAAAATGAAGAAGCAATTGCTTTGGGGCACATCTTGCTAACGGATGCACAAAATAAGTTGAAATAAAGCACAGTTGCTCACAGACACAGCCCAAAGCTGTGGCGGCTGGATGCCAGGATGCTGAGTGCTGGAGCGGGCAGGTGCTCCTGCTGCTCAGGGTGTGCTCAGGGCAGAGGGTGTGCACTGCCTCTGGGACAGCTCACTGCAAAACAAATGCTGAATGCTATTCTCAATTTTCACCTTTTTTCATACAAGCAAGAATTCTCTTAAGATTCCTGTTGGTTGGTGAAAACAAGTCCTACTATAGGTCTTTCATAAAAGCTCAGAGGCATAAAGTGAACTTTTTGAAAAGTGGGGGATACCTCATACCAAAGTGTTAGGTATGGTGGGATTTGGGGTAACATTTATCATATATCATCTATTATATACATTGCTTATGATATATAGCATATATCATATATTATCATTTATCATCTAGGCTTCCTGCAGTATCATCATATAATGCTTAGAATTGTTTAAAAGTATGGTTTAAATAAAATGAAAATGATCCTCTTTACATTAAACATTACAGAAAGATTCTGCTTGAATTTTAGGAAAGGTATTCCCTGGAATAATTCAAGTAAAAACACCAGACACAAATAACCTGGATAATCAAAAGTCCATAAACTATGAAAAGTTACATAAAGAAGTTATCAAATTTGTAAGTATTTTCCAACCTTCCTTCCTGTATAAGTGTTCTTCATTCTAACACTGAGTTACAGAGCATAAAGCTGATATTCTGGTGGCTCACACTGGTACAGCTGTTCCATTGTCCAAACGGTGAGATTTACTCTTACTGGTTGGTAAACAGCAGCTGTCCTGAGCCCCTTGGGTACCCTTGGGCCTCCCCATGACCCTGCACCTCCCTAAGTAATGTCTGGTTCAGCAGAGTGCCATGCCAGACTTGTTACATAAGCTATTAGAATATTTTTAATGGACAGTTAAATATAATGATTTTTTAAAAGATTGTATTTATTTTTAGAGAGAGGGGAAGGGAGGGAGAAGGAGGGGGCATGAAACATCAACGTGTGGTTGCCTCTCGCACACCCCATACTGGGGACAAGGCCTGCAACCCAGCCATGTGCCCTGACTGGGAATCGAACCAGCAACGCTTTGGTTTGCAGGCCAGCACTCAATCCACTGAGCCACAACAGCCAGGCATTAATGATGTTTTTAAATGAATGATTTCCACAGAATTGGAAAGTTTTAAAGATGTTCCATTTTTTCTTTTTACATTCCGATTTGCACACATTTCTACACTAGTGTGACTTTTTTAATGTCTGAAAGAGCAACTCCATCTGAATTAACATCTGTTCCTTTTTTTCCTGTTGTCAAAGATGTCAAACTGTGCAAAAGCTTCTTTTCATTTTGGTTAGTTCGAGCGGCTGCGTCAACAGGAGATTGCCATTCTAGAACCACAGCTGGTGGCCCTGGAAGGGCTTGCGGAGGGCATCCAGCCAGTGTTTCTCAAAGCTTCATAAGACTTCAGAAACTAAGGTCTTATTTGATGACAATGTCTTTCAATTCGGAACTACATCATCACAAAAGAGTTTCATTATTAGAAATGATAAAATATAAAAAATGATTGTCTAAACAATTTTGCACATTGTACAGAGAAAACCAGTGCTCATGACAGAACAGCCACTGCCCACCTCTGCGGGGAAGGACCCCCAGCTGCTGGGGCCCAGAGCTCGAGGGGCCCCTTAGTCGTACCTCCTGTGCACGATAGGCCAGCTATCCGTGACCTCTCCTCTCATCATGGGTACATTCCTATTTGCCTGCTTGGATGAGAGTTGGTACATTTGAAGAAGGCAACATCAATATGTTCCTATTTCCAGGGAGCCCCTTGATTTTCTCATGTGATATTACTGGGCAATGGCCACTGTGGCCACTACACTTCCCAAACTTGCTTTGGGTATGAGTGTCCAAAGGGTCCTTCCAGCTCCAGGCCTATGCCCTGGTCTTCAGAGACCAGTTTAGAGACTTGATCTCAGTCAAGTCTTTATGGTTCCCAGGGCACCAGGGAGGGGATAGAGCATTCTTTTAATTTCCAAGGGGCTGTTAATCCAAAACAGGTATGCCAGAACTCCCTTGCAGCTTCTAGAGATAGGAAAATAGGAAAAATTGATTTTCTTCAGGGTCCTCTCAGCAGACCTTGTAGCTGGGGCAGCCCCAGCTCAGACCCTGAGAAGTTTCCCAGGGTGTATTTTCTACCCAGCGAGCTCCAAATGGATAGTCCCTGATTTGTAGTTCCGCTGTTGCATGCTGTGCCTGGCATTCTATGTGTGATATTATTAATTCTCAAAATAGTCCTGTGGAGGAGATAATACTATGGTGCCTATTTTGTGGATCAGGTGGTCACGGGTCAGAAAAGTTAAGTAACTGACTGAAGGTCACCTAGCTGATGAGGGATGACATTGCGATTTGAGCCCAGAGCTGCCTTCTCCTCACTTGCTGGCTCTGCTGTGCAGTGGAGGCCAGATAGGCCTGTCTGGATAGTGCCTACCTTCTTGTCCAACCATACAGCCCTTCACACCTAGAGGTGTGTATCCCAACATCCTCAAAGGGTGCCCTGGAAGAGAAAAAGAAAACACTTTTTCCTATGCCAAATACTAATAGCACAATCTCTTCTTTGGGATTAAGAAAATTAAATGGGCAATGGTTAGCAGAAGAGCTGAAGGGACCGAGGAGGTCATCGAGTTAACTTGTTTCTAAGTGGGTTTCCAATTCCCTGATGATTTACAGAAATACCAGCTATTCCCAATATTTAAAATAATTAAAAGGAATATAGACATATTCTGGATAAAGGCTGCCCAGACTAACTGGAACATAAAATTTATTTGAATTTGACTAGACTAAAAGAGAAATTATTTAACATATTTTTAAAGTATATTTTATTGATTATGCTATTACAGCTTTCCCAATTTTTCCTCCTTTATCCCCCTCTACCCTGCACCCCCAACCCTCCAGTATGCTCCCCACCTTAGTTCATGTCAATGGTTTGTACATATAAGTTTTTTTAATTCTCTGTTTCCTATACCACTTTTTATCTCTCCCCATCTATTTTACACCTACCAATTATACTTCTTATTTCTTGTACCTTTTCCCCACTACTTCTACTACTGCTCCCCCTTCCCACTAAAAACCCTCCATATGATCTCCATTTCTCTGATTCTACTCCTGTTCTAGTTGTTTGCTTAGTTTTTGTTTTTGTTGTTTTTCTTTTTGTTTAGGTTCATTTGTTGATAGTTGTGAGTTTGTTGTCATTTTACTGTTCATAGTTTTTTTTTTATTTTCTTTGATTTCTTAGATAAATCCCTTTAACATAACTTATTTCATATAATAAGGGCTTGGTGATGACGAACTCCTTTAACTTGACCTTATCTGGGAAGCACTTTATCTGCCCTTCCATTCTAAATGATAGCTTTGCTGGATAGAGTGATCTTGGATGCAGGTCCTTGCCTTTCATGACTTTGAATACTTCTTTCTAGCCCCTTCTTGTCTGTAAGATTTCTTTTGAGAAATCAGTTGATAGATAGTCTTACAGGAACTCCTCTGTAGATAATTCTCTCCTTTCCTCTTGCTGCTTTTAAGATTCTCTCTTTATCTTTAATCTTGGCTAATGTAATTATGAGGTGCCTTGGTGCATTTTTCCTTGGGTCCAGCTTCTTTGGTACTCTCTGGGTTTCGTGGACTTCCTGGACGTCTATTTCCTTCACTAGATTGGGAAAGTTTTCCTTCATTATTTGTTCAAATAAGTTTTCAATTTCTTACTGTTGTTCTCCTCCTTTTGGCACCCCTATAATTCAGACATTGGAACATGTAAAGTTGTCCTGGAGGTTCCTAAGCCTCTCTTCATTTTTCTGAATTCTTGTTTCTTCATTCTGTTCCAGTTGGATGATTATTTCTTCCTTTTGTTCCAAATTGTTGCTTTGAGTCCTGGTTTCCTTCCTGTCACTATTGGTTCCCTGAATATTTTTCTTTATTTCACTCTGAGTGTGTTTTATTTGCCCTTTCATTTTTCCACCAAGCTCAATCAGTTATGTGCGCATTTTGATTACCAGGGCTTTGAACTCTCGTTATCTGAGGTTGACTGTGTCCTCATCACTTAGCTCTCTTTCTGGAGTTTTGCTCTGTTCTCTCATTTGGGCCATATTTCTTTGTCTCAGCACACTTGTTAAGTTGTAAGAGGGCAGGACCTTTGGTATTCACCTAGACAGAGCAACCCTCCTTGCTGCACTGCAGCACTGCCTGTGCAGGGGAGGCAGAGAGGAAAAAATACAGCTTGACTGCTAGGCTCTAGCCCCACTTTCCAGTGAACCCTCATGTTAGACTGAGAGTTTCTCCCTCTTCAGCAACCCCCACCATCATCCACAGTCAGCTCTGAGTCTGTTTCCCATTCAGCCAGCCCTGCCTGTGCAGTCTGTCACCTCCCTGCAGGTTCTCTCCATCCACCTGTCTTACCAGTCTGGTTGGTCTCATTGACTGTTTCTTTAATTCCTCGGTTGTAGGAATTCCATGCAGTTTGATTTTCTGGCACTTCTTGTTGTTTACTGATTTTAGATTGGTTGTTATCCTCCTTCCGGTTGTGCAAGGAAGGGAAGGGTTTCTACCTACACCTCCATCTTGGTTGGAACTCTATTTAACACATTTTTAAATTATATTGATTGCCATAGTCTTTTAAAATGTGGGGTTCCCATGGGGAGAAAAGTTTTAAAAAGTCATGTATCATAAAAAGGTTGTATCAGCCTAGTTCAACCCTCATATAGTAAATATGGAGAATGGGACCCAAAAATGGGAAGACATGTCCAAGTTCACATGTTTTACATTTAACTTATTCAATATTCAGTCAACTAGTGTTGAACTTTTCATAGAGATTGCACTCTGCTGAGTGCTGTCAGGTAGAGGTGGAGGAGGCTGTGTCATAAGAAAGAGAAAGCAAACCCAATTCTTGACATCAATGAATGTATGTTCTTACTGGGACCCTCAGCCAACCTCTACTTTATCCTCAGCTTTATCTCTAGTTGCTGCTCTACAAGTATCTAGAGTTGTCTCTGTTCTTAGAACACAACTCAAGCCTGATTAGATCCACATTTCAGTTCACAAAGCCATCTCATTTTATGCATACTATAGCCCTACATGGTAGGAATTACTGCTGTCTCAAGTTTCCAATGAGAAAAGTAAAGGTTCGAAGAAGTTAAATTATGCAACTTATGGAAGACAGTTTCCTTGAACTTCCATGGTAGATCATATCGCTCTATGGCACTTACCTGACTCAATCACATAGTGTAATTACTATTGACCCAGGGCTGGACCAGCCCATCATTATAATTTCTAAGTCCCCTTGTGCAATTGCCTTGGAGGCAATTAAAGAAGTGTTCCTTGGGGACATTGATGCATGCATGACACAGGCATGTAGATAAGTCTAACAAATATGCAGAACTCTACTGTGACTTTAAGAAGACAAAATAAGTTAGTCACCTTAATTTTTAAGAGTATAATCATTGATTTGTCTATTTTGGGTTTCATCTTTTTCTTAGGTAACACTGACTTATATTAAGTTCTTATTGATTTACAGCAAAAATGACTGAAAGGTGTTAGAGAGCATGTCAAGAACAAACAATCTTCTGTGATGAACCATGGATTTAACACCACAGATTTGCTGTGATGTTAAAACCTAAATACACTATCATGTTTTCTTCCCCCCAGAACTTTGTAGTTGTTATTAAATCTGTTCTTCTCTTCCACAGTTTGAAGGTGCATTTAAAAATTTAGATTATGGACAGACTGTAATTCAGCAAGTAAGGTAAGTTTGCTATGGACCAATGAGGTACTTTGGAGTCAAGTGTGCATTTGCTTAACTTCTCATCTTCTTTTGAGTTCCCCATGTAGCACTATGGCCCTCTGGGGGGGAAGTCACAAGTCAGGAAGAAATGGTCAGTCTGATGTCACACTCACCTTGGTATGTGGATGGGCAGAGTATAGCCTGGGGACAGAAGACACTGCCTGTGACTGGCTATTCAGCAATTTGCACACATGCTACAATGCATCACCTGGATCAGTTTGATTGGTTTGATCTCTTGGCTACAAACCACACCTGGCCAAACCCTGGAATGTGCATTCCAGGGGGCCAGGAGGAGAATGAGTGGCTCATGGTCATCTCTTCCCTCATATGGGGGGGAGTGAGAGAGTTAACACCCAAATCTCACACGTGGCTACAAAAGGGCCAGTAGTGAGCTCTTGCTGCAGTAAGAACAAGCATTCATTGAGCATATCACTGTACAATGACCAGTGTTAAGTGCTATGTAGGGACCCAGAGAGGCAAAAGATTCTCAAGAAGGTAGTGCTTTTATTTCAGCTTTCACTGAAGCACATGGACATACAAGTGCTACAGCCTGAGGAAAGAATGTTCTAGTCTAGGATGAGTGAAATTATGTAGAAAAAGCAGCCCTGATGTATTCATATTTTATGGTTTTACTATTGCATTTATCTTCATAAGCTTTGTCAAATTCTTTGTGGAATAAGATACAGGGTATATTTATACTTATAAATTCAGAGAAGGCCTCCTGAAGGTGGTGAGTTTTGAGCTTGATGGTGAGTGAGGGGCAAGTGTGATTGGCAGGCAGACTAATGAGAGGCACAGCACCATGTGGCCAGGAGCAGGCATCAGACAGAGAAGCTGGACCCCAACTCAGAGGCTCTGAAGCTGAAGGTTCACAGCAGATGACTGCTGGAGGGCTGGGCACTGTTTCAGGGCATGCGGTTTGGTGTAGTGGACAACAGGGAGTTCGTACTTTGAGTGCCACTGGGTAACACAGGAACAGTGAGGTGTGATGGCTTAAGCCAAATCTGTACTTGAATCCTGGCCTTCACACATTCTCGCTGCATGAATGGGCAGCTGTTTTCACCTCTCTGAAGATCTCTGTACCAGGGATAATCTGATCAACTTTCCTGGAACTTTGGGAAAAACAAATGAGATAACCTTTGAAAGATCCCCTGCACGAAGTGCCTGGCACATAGATGATTTCCACATGTGTTAGTTCCCATCTATTTCCCTTCCAGAATACGGGGCCCTACAAGTGTGATGGACAGCTGGTCCCACAAGGTCGTTGAGGGGTTTCCCTGAAATCGTGGTTCTCCTTTTGTTATGGAGTTACTAAAACAGAGCCAGGGGTGTTCAGAGGCAAACTTTTACCTTGAGCTCAGTGTCCTAGTCAGGAACTACACAGGGCTGTGGCAGGCTGAATGGACCTTAGTCTCACCTAGGAAGAAACGCCTTAGGCTCCAGTCCTGTGTTCTCACATTCGAATCCCCAAGATCTTTGTATATGGTACAAATATTGGAATTGGAAAGGTCCTCAGAATTTCTCTAATTCTCAGATCTCTCTTTGGACAGAGGCAGAAACTCAGGCTCAGGAAAGCTATGACTTTTGGGACACAAAGGTTGTGGCCATCTTGGGTCTAGGCCTCTGGACTCTGAACTCCAAGTCTAGTCCTCTGGTCATTATACTATGCCTTTTCGTGTCACTTGAGTACACAGTGGTTCTCCTTAAGTCATGAGTACAATGTCTTGCCTCCTAAACTGGAGTGTAAGCTAACAGATTCTTTGAAAGGATGAATTATGGATGGCATTTCTTTCCTAGCCCCACTGTAAATGTGTATCACAGATTTCTGGTCATTTTTTAACTGATAAAGAATAACTTGTATCAAGGATGCCTTTTCACTGTCATCTACCTTCTCTGCCACCTCCAAATCTATCATAAATTAATCATGGGAGGCAATTTAAAAGAAAATCTGAAATCACTTGGTTTTTTAGACTCCCTTTTTTTGTTTGTTTCTTTGTCTTTTAGAAATTATTAAGTTGAGGAAGTCTTCTACCTCTAGTTTAGGGAGAGTTTTTATCATGAATTAATGCTGGATTTTTCAAATGCTTTTTCTGTGTCTATTGATATGATCATGTAAGTTTTCTTTTTTAGCCTGTGATAGCTAAAACAATTGAATTAAACAATTAATTTTTTTAAACTTTTATTGTATTTTTTCCATTACCACCTAGCCCCCTTATACCTCCTTCCCCCGCTGCAATCACCATCATGTTGTCCACGTCCAGTAGTCCTTTTTCCTTTTTGCTCAAACCTTCCACTCCTAACCTCCCCACACCGCCCCTTAGCTGTCATCCTGCTCTCTATCTATGAGTCTGTTTCTATTTTGCCTGTTAATTCAGTTTGTTCATTAGATTCCACATATGCATGACATCATATGGTATTTGACTGTCTCTGACTGGCTTATTTCACTTAGCATAATGTTCTCTAGGTCCATCCATACTATTGCAAAGGGTAAAATTTTCTTCTTTTTATGGCTGAGTAGTATTCCATTGTGTAAATGTCCCATAGTTGTTTTATCCACTCATCTATTGATGGACACTTGGACTGTTTCCATCTGTTGGTGATTATAAATAATGCTGTGATGAACATAGGGTTGATTATGTTCTTTCAAAGCAGCATTTTGGGTTCCTTCAGATATATCCCCAGAAGTGGGATTGCTGGGTCAAAAGGCAGATCTATGTGTAATTTTCTAAAGTATCTTCATACTGCTTTCCGCAGTGGCTGCATCAGTCTCCATTACCACTGTGCAAGTGTGGTGAGGATGTGGAGGAAGAACAGTGAAAAAGTGTTCTCCTTTCTCCACATCCTTACCAGCACTTTTTGCTTTTGTTTCTGTTCTTGTTTTTGATTTATTGATGATAGCCATCGTGACAGGTGTGAGATGATATCTCATTGTGATTTTAATTTGCATTTCTCCGATCATTAGGGGCATTGAACATCTTTTCGTATGTCTATTGGCCATCTGTATGTCCTCTTTGGAGAAGTGTCTATTCAGGTCTTTTGCTCATTTTTTAATTGGATTGTTTGGGGGGTTGGGTCTTTTTTTGGAGGGGAGGTTTGGTGTTGAGTTTTATATGGACTCCCTTCTGAGGTGATCATTCCTAAAAATGGAATTCAGTTAATGTTTTTTATTGTTCTGAAGAACCAACATAGCTGTACACATTTTCCAAGTAGGTTGGCTATGTTTTTGAGCTTCTGTATTTATTTAAACGTCAAAGTGGAGTGGAGAGAAAATGCTGTACAGGAGAAGTATATCCAGAGTCTTAAAAATACACAGCCACAAAACAGATAGAGAAGGAGTTTTAAAAAATTCTTTTATTTCTTTCTCAGTGGCTGTATTACTTGATTCCTTTGGGACAATGAAAGGGTCAGAACTTGACCCAGCTGTTGTTAGGGCCCCAAACTGCAGTGCTGATTAGAGAGGAAGAGTCTTACAATGTCTTGTTCATAGCAGACACTTAGTATTTGGTGATATGATTTGGTATAATATGCTCATGTTCCCGACAGTCATCCCTCGTTCCAGTTCTCCTCTGGATCATGCATATCCAGGCCCAGTCCCTTACCCACTTTGCCTGCTGACTTCCTGGCCCTTCCTAGGAGTGACCCAGACTCTGCATGTTTCCTTACTGCTCTCTCTGTACACAGGGAGGAACACACACTCTTCTCTCTCCAAGTACAATTCTGAGGTTTAACAGCCCAGGAATAGACTTACTCTTGATGTTCTACAGAAAGCGACAAGTTACTATTTCAGATGTTACTTGTTCTATTTCTGGTTAGTTCTAGACTCCTAGATCCTAAAAATGAGAGTTCACAATTATACTCCAACAGGATGTTGTTTCAGTCATAGATTTCCTCTGAGAATACATTGAATAGAGATCTCTGGGCCATCTTATTGCAACCCCAGACTTCCATTCTGGGCCCCCCGAGTTGTGGATATATCTGTGGGTCAGGATTGGAACTGGGAAATTTGGGAATATGGGAGGTTTGAAGACCAATTTGTTGATTCTTGAATTTAGTTCATCAAGTGATGAATTCTTTTTATTTTTAGTCCACCTACTCCAGGGGGATCTCAAATGTATGCTGATGACAAGGTTGTGACGGTAACAGTAGCAAACCTTTTTGCAGAAGATACAAAAGAAACTGAGACGACCATAGCTGCTGCAATTCATAATGCAATTTCAAATAGCTCAAACATTGTAAACTATACTAGTAAGTACTAAATAATTTTATTCAAAGTTTACCTAACCACCTACCTACCTTTGTGTGAACTTTTTCATTGCATGGAAGAAAGGGGCAAGAAGAACTGGATAACAGAATCTGTAGGTGTCTCCGAGTTTCCTTTTTACCAGTCCATCCTTCCACCCTGTCTTCTCTCACTTGGCTCCCACTCCTTTCCAGCCACCTACCAAGTCATCAAGCTGACCAGTTTGCTTCTCTGTTTGGAAGGTAGTCTTGGACAAACAGCCTCTGGGCAGGAAAAGATGAAGCAAGGTGAAACAAGAGGACTTTATCTCAAGTTATAGCTTTCTAAATGATTGATTTTACCTGTGCTGTTCTCCCTTTAGGCAGACACACAAACCCACAACATAACTGTAATAGTTCACTTTTGCTGTGTTACAGACCACCCTAAAATGTAGTGGCCTATTTATTTATTGCAATGCCATTATTCGGTGGGTCAGAATTTGAACAGGGCTCAGCTGGGCAGTTCTGCTGATCTAGGCCAGGCTTGGCTGATCTCCGCTGGGCTCATTTAAGCAATTGTCATTAGCTGCTGGGTGGGTCAGCTGAGGTCTGACTGATGTAAGATGGTTCACCTAATTGGTTTGTCTCTGCTTCACATGGTCTCTCATCCTCCAGCAGGCTGATCCTAAAGGGTTTCAAGAGCAGCAAGAGGGTAGGTTTCAATGCACAGGTATTTCTCAAGTTTCTGCTTATGTCACATTTACAACTGGCCTAATGGCCAAAGTTCATGTGGCCAAGCACAGTCTGGCAGGGCACGGATGGGTACAGGAAGGCATAAATGAGTTGACACTATTACAGCAGTCATCAGAAGTTCCTCGTCTCAGAGATACCTGTTAACGCCAGCCCTGGTGGCAACTTTGTGTGACTGGTTCTCAATCCTGGTTGCTAAATCCAAAGGCTTCTAATAAGGCACAGTTGACCTGAGTTGTCCATAGCATTTGCTGTGGTACCCTTCCCTTCCTGAAGTCCTCTTCTCCCTGGGCCTCCACCCACCATTCTCTTGATCCCCTTCCTGCCTCCCTCATCTTTCTTTTTGTTCTTCTAAGACCCTTTTTTAGTCTCTTACATTTTTGCTCTCTAATGATTGTAACCTCATTGGCCTAGTGTGCAAACTACCTTCTCTTCCTAAAAATATAAACAAATCCTGTTCATTTATAGCTTTTCAGCACCTTTTTTCTTTCTTGGAGATTTCGCAGAGATTCTTGCTATTCTCTCAGGACCTAGGATGTAAATGCTCTGATAAAACACTTAAAATTCTACCACAAAAGATGGGACTCCCCTGTACTGCTCTCTCTCCTTGGGCTGCAGTCCATTTAGCAATGTCCATTCAACCTTTTTCCATCTAAGTATCATTTCCTGGCAGAAGAGGCTGTGGGGAAAGAAGTGTAGAGCCATTCTGTTTTTCATGTTATCCACCAATGTTATACCAGCCAGGCTTGGCCTTTCTCGGAGCCTCCCTAGCATCTCTCTCTCTCTCTCTCTCTCTCTCTCTCTCTCTCTCTCTCTCTCACACACACACACACACACACACACACACACACACACCCCCTCTTCATTTGTTTGCCCATTCTTTCACTTTAACCCTTTTCTCTTTGTTATTGGATTTTATTGTTGTTATTTGGGGTTTTGTGGGGAACCTGAGCTCATTCGAGGCTCTAGAATTTCTCTACCACATTTTTAACATTCTGTCTTTGGTTATAAGGACTTCTTTCCATATTTTGTGTATGTCTTATTTGCACAGCTTCCTGTGCAAACCACAGCAGTTTCTTAAATTATCAGATCCTCTTCCTACTTTTTTTGTTTTATAGCTCATTTAGCAGCTACACTGTTAGAATTACATTTTCAGACTTTCTGACCTTCTTGAACTATTTCACCTTCCAGAGTCTCATGCATCAGAATTACACCTCTCCCTTTCTGAACATTTTAATTTTTACTCTGTGAAACGACTCTCTCTCTGGCTATCACTTATTTCTTGTATTCCAAGGGGACCATCACTTCTACCTGCCATTCGGTTTCTCCTTGGGTCAGAATTGGTGCAGAGTAGCAATTCATGCAGTCAGAACCTCTACTCCCTGGAAGAAGAAATTGTCAGCAAGTCAAGACAAACCTTGTCATGCATTCTGCTTTTGGCTAAATGAGACTTCCAGCAAGTGTAAGGATGTTTGAGGGTCCCCATCAGCATGGAGACTGTCTTGGCATGGTTGCTGGCTAAAAATAACCAGTGCATTCTTCAAGATAAAGTTGAGGTCCCCTGTACAATTCTCTCATGTTGGCTCTCCTTCATAATTGCCTTGATTCTAACCCCTGGCATACTTGAAGCCATTTGTCCTCATTTCTAAGAATTGCCCTCTTTTGACAACTCCTCTCAACATCTCTCCCCTCTGAGACCAGGCATCCACTTATAAATTCATTAAAAAATTTCCAAATGGTGCAGGTTGGAGGGGGCCACTAAAGCATGAACCACCCAGCAAAGGAAAGGAAGAGGCTCAGAACTTTTAGGAAAAAAAACACCCTTTCCTGCTTTTTGCTTCTGCTGCAAAGACAGATTTTCTCTTCCATGTCAAAAGCTGTAGTCTTTTTCTCTAGACTGTTAATTGGAGGCATTTTTAAATTAGCAGGGGATGAAAGAAGGTTTGTTACAGGTCTGGGATGTTTAGAAGAGAGTAATCACATAACTGTTCTGCCTCCTCCTATTGTCTCCCCCTAATCTAGTCTCAGATTCATCTTTTCATTCCAAATGCCTTCCAACCTGCTTCTAGACTAACATTCTTTTTAAAATTTATTTTTAGGCATTTATATACCTTATGAAGAGATCACTTGCTTAAGTCTAGTACCCATCTGACACCATACATAGTTATTACAATATTATTGATTATGTTCCCTTTGCTGCACCATGCATCCTTGTGACTATTTTTATAGCTTTCAATTTGTACTTAATCTCTTCAGTTTTTTTTATCCACTCCTCCAATCACCCTCCCTTCTGGCAACCATCAATTTGTTCTCTCTATCTATGAGTTTGTTGCTGTTTTATTTGTTTATTTTTTACATTCCAGATACATATGAAATCATATGGTATTCATCTTTGTTTTCCTGGCTTACCTCACTTAGCATAATATCCTCTAGGTCTATCCATGTTGTCGCAGATGATAAGATTTGTATTCATTTTATGGCTGAGTAATATCCTATTGTATATATGTACTACCTCTTTATCCATTCTAGAGTAACATTCTTAAAATATTGCTTTCTCATGCTATACTTCTGCTCAAAATCCACCAATGGATTCTCAGGCTTGTAGGATTAAAGTCATTGTCCTGAGACTGGCATTCAAACCCTGCTGTACCTATGAATGGACAAAAGAATGATTATTTGTTGAGACTCCTGCAATGGGCTTGCATTTACATTAGTTAATTTAGTTCTCACAATGATCATGTGAATCAAGAATTATTAGTCCCATTTTATAGATGGAGGGAACTTGAACCCACCAAAACTCAAATGACTGAACAGAGAGAGCCCATTGCCAACAAATGACACAGCCAAGAATTCTCTTTCTTCCTGTTTACCACACTGCCTTGTCTCCACCCAAATACAACACCACTGCTCCCTGATAAGAATTCTCTGCTTCTTTCCATGCCTTGTTTACTCTTCTTAGAAAGGCTTTGCCTCTCTGATTGTTTAAATTTTCGCCATCCTTCAAGACAGCTCAATTCCCATCTCCTCCACAATGTTACCTTTAATTACTTTAGCCCTTTGAATTCCCATTGTGCTTGAAGTCTGGATTATGAGGTGACTGAAGCAACAATTCTCTATGGGTTCAAACCTGTAACTCTAAAAAAAAATGGGACCTAAAAGTTATATAGCTATTGTGTCCCTTTTAAAACCTAGCACAGAGCTGGGTGTGAAAGAGATCTTGAACTTGAACCTGATAGCACTACTTTGGATTGAATTAATTTGAACTGAATAATGTAAGGAAATAGTCATGGAAAAAGGATTGGAGAGTTGGACTTTAAAATCCCAGATTATCATTTATTAAATCCTAAAACTTATTAAAAGGCAATTATAACAACAATAGAGTGGGGACTTTCACAGTTACTTTATCCACACTATCTTGCTGAATATATTTTTGAATTATTTGTGCCCTTCAGACCAAGATCACTGTGAGTTTTATGGTTGCAAAAAGGGCAGTAACTGCAGCAATGGTTTTCATTGTGAATGCCGAGAAGGGTATGAAAGACCTGACCCGTACACCGCTACATGTCTTCGTAAGTATTCCACCTGCTTCTAAATGTTCTTCACAATTCCTATTCTTTCTCCTTTCACATTTGCAAAATACAAGCTTTACTATTCAAGGGTCCATGTGCATTTTGGATTCTGAGGGATGTGAGTTTTGGCTTTAGGCCTGTGGACTGAAGTGTGGCCTTGGCTGCAAGCCAGTAAGACAGCCCATGAGCATTCACAGGGGGCATATCACGTGCACAGCCAATGAGATCCTCCTTTGACCTAGAAAAAAAGGGCAGCGGGGATTGTATTCTGTATCACTTTGTATCACAAAATTGTATCACTTTGGGGCTGAAGAGGTTGTTTCTGAAAATTACCCAGAAATAACTCTGTTTTGAAGCTTTAAGGTGTCCTTCTGCCTGCACCTTAAAACCCAATACACAATGCCTGGTGAAGAAAGATGGGAGCTCTGATTGCGTGTGCCTGGCGGGCTACAAGAAAGATGATCATGGGACATGTCAAGCGTAAGAGAAATCATTCCTTTATTGTCTTTCCATAACTGGACCTTATGCATGGGGTAAAGGATAGAAAGGATAGAACTTGCAGCATGGGGTTAGGGTCAGGAAGTCGGTATGCTAGCATAGGTATAGAGTATCACATCATCATCATCGTCAGCATCATCATCATCAGTAGTTTTGAACATTCTTTATATGCCAGGAACCATACTAGGTAACACCTCTCATACAACAACACTGTCAGAAATGTATTAGTTCCCCATTTTCAAGTGCAGAAACGGAAGCTCAGAGAATATAAGTAATTTGCCCCAGCTCACAGGGCAGCAAATAAGGGGCAGAGCCACATGGCCTTGCAGTCAGAGAGGGTCCCACTAGGCTCCATGTCCTGGGGTTCACCTTTGCCTGAGTTGCTGAGTATTCCTGGAGCTCAGGGGATCGAGTGTTCAGTCAGTAGAAAATGAGACTATATGGGGCTGTATAACCACCAGCCCCCCAACTTTCCAGAGCTCCATGAAATATGCTCAACTAGAGAATGGGACTGTAAGGAAGAAAAGAGAAACAGGAGAAGGAACAGGGAGGAGAGAATGAAAGAAAGATGGAAAGGAAGACCTGGACGTTGGGTGGAACTCTGACATGCTCCCACATGCTCTTTACCATGGTTTCCTACAATGGATTGTATTTCAGGTGTGCCTTTGGTTACAACGGAGTCAACTGTGAAGACAGTGAGTATAAAAGTCTTGCTTCATTGTTAAACACCTGAAAAACATTAATCACATTCAGAATTCAATCTGGTTCCCCAAAGTCTCCGGCTTTCTTCATGAAGAGGGAGAAAACCTGCCTGCAGTTTGTCTTCTCGGTCCTGCTGTTCCGTCTGTCCCATCCCTGAGTCACAGGCAACAGTGCCTTTGTTACAGGAACTCCCAGAACTCAGCCCATGAGGCAGGCTGGCACCTCGGACAAGCCCCAAGTCTGCCCAGGGTGTCCTAATGTTCTGTTCATTTCCTACATTAGGTTAAATACGCATTTTCTGCTACTAGAAAAGATAAAATACCAGTATATTCTGGAAAGGTCTGTGGTCATGGGAGAATAAAACTAGAAATCAGACATTCAGATATTCAAATCTCATTGTTTCAGAGCTATTTAGTAGTTTGAGATGTGTTGCAAATTCAGTTGCTTGGTTTCCTCCCACAACCCACACCTGTCAGATTGGGACAATACTAACTTTATATTTTAAATTATTTTATATTTAAAATGTACCCACTGAACTAAAGATCAGTGCTCCAAGATGAAGGAAATATTTCTGCTGGCCTCCCAGCCAGCCCCAAAGTTAGCGATGAGAAATGCTCTCAATTTCTACTGTGTTTTGTAGTGAGGCTGGGTTTGCTAAACCATTTTTTCCTCCAGGGCTTTCACTGTCCACACTGATAAAAATGAGAGGTTTGGGCTGGATGACCTTTGAGGTATTTTCCAGACTTAAGTCCTATGCCCCATGAGTCCTCGTTGGGGGTGGCGCACAGGACAGTCGTGTTGCAGAGACAAGCTGTCTAGAGAAGCACTATCTAATAGAAATACAATGTAAGCTTCATGTTCAGTTTCAAATTTTAAAATTCTAAGTAAATTTTTTAAAGTAAAAAGAAACAGGTGAAATTAACTTTAATAACATTTTAACATTTTATTTCACTCAATATTTCAAAATTATTATCAATTCAATGTGTCATCAATATAAAAATTATTCACAATATATTTTACACCTTTTTCAAATGTGTTTGAAGTCCACTGTGTCTGTCACACTTCCAGGCCATTTCATAGCTGTATTCCAAGTTCCCAGTAGTGCTAGACAGCAGAGCTAGACAAGGAGATGGGTGGTAATGAACCTACAGGCTCTTCCCTCACCAATTCTATCAAGCCATTTCCTAGCTCCACCATTAGTGACAATTTAAATTCCCCCAGCTTATCATGCAGGTCAGGTGTGACGGGCAGGCAAAGGCAGCAGAGTTCAGGAGTGGGTGCAGTCCTGGGTTGTAATCCTAGTCTCCATGAAGCCCAGGAAGCCCCTGCCACCAGGCCTCCTTTGCACGTGTGGCCTTTTATCTGGCAAGGCTGACTTTTCTGATTGGGTTCTAAAGATATAGTTAGGGTTTGGAGGTGAGGAGTGAGGCTTGGAGGTGAGGAGGGAGGGTTGAAGGAGGTGAACCACCCATCCAACCTGGTCAGAAATGAGAGCCACTGGTCCTCACAGCCAGGCGCCCCCGGGAACACACATACCTGTGAGGCAGACAGTCAGTGGCACCCTGTTTGTGGATACCATGCCTACTCCTCTCTGCTCCCTTTCAGACTTTCAGCTGATTCTCACCATCCTGGGCACCGTTGCTGGCATCCTCATTCTTGGCATGGTGATCGCACTGATCCTCATGAGGTATGGAATGGAAATGTCCCTGTCCTGGGGCGCGGCAGTCACCGGCATGACATTCTCATTCTCAAATACACACAGTCTTTCCCAGGCAAGAGAAGGGAAATACGACGAGGCTTCTCTAAAACCAATGAATTTTTTTCTGACCTTCTGATTGTATAAGCTCTACATGATCACTGAAGAAAGTCTGGAAAAGAGAGAAATGTATAAAGGAGCAGAATAAAAAAACACCCATAAAACACCCTTAAAACCCATAAAACCACCCATTTGCCCTGAGGCAACTAACATTTTGAGATGTATCCTTCCAGGTTTTTCTCTATCTTTTCAAAGGATATTATGTACATAGCTTTGTATCCTTTTTGTTTAAAAAAAATTGTTTAGGTTATTTTTGTTTAACACTGTAATGTGACATAGCAACCATTTCCTTATGTCATAAAAACTCTTTGTTAACAAATGTCATTTTCATGAAGCCAGTCCCCTGCCCAGGACCCTGCTGCCAAAGATCGAAAATCAGCCTCAGCTGGAGCACCCTGGCTTTATTTAAGTGAAACATTTGCTCTGTGTGGCCACTTCTCAGCTAGCGGCCTTAAGTGGTCTTCTTAAGAACTGAAGTAGAGTCCATTCATTTATTCAACAGATACTTAGATATCCTAAAGTTCCCTTCATTAACAGGGAGAGAGAATGCTGTTATCTATTCCATTCTAAATGCGCCAAGTAGTGATCCACTTTGATGAAAATAACAAGCTACTTTATAAAAATAATATTTAGCTTGTATCTTATATTTTGGCAAATAGGTATTTTTGCACTATAATGTGAGGGGATAAATAGATTTTAGGTTCCTAAGATATTTTGTTTCTTCATTTTTTAAAAATTTCTTTAAGCTAGTAACTCTTCCCCATGGATAATCACAAGGACAGGCAGCTGGGAACTGAGAGTGTGCCTTTCCCTTTCCCAGAGACAGGACCAGACCCTTCTGATTATGAAGCAAGGCTGTCCCTCCTCTCTCGTGGGGATTGGCTCTTGTTCTGGGTCTTCAGGGTCCTCAGGGGCTGCTACAGAGCCTGTGGCCCTGCGACAGCCCTGCATCTCAGCCCCACCTTCCTGCTGTAGAGCTGTGTTTGTGCTGAGCTCAGCGTCAGATTCATGGTTCTTGGGAACACACCCCAAGAGTTATTTTTTGCACATTTTGAAGGTAAGGAAGCCCCTCCTCAGGCAACTTAGGCAGGAGTGTTGTCAAAGGGCAATAACTCTGTTGTCGGCTGGGCTGGCCATCAGGGTCCAGGGTGAATGGCTCTTCCTTTACCACATTCTCAGTGTGACTGAGGGTGTACGACTGTCACCCTGGGAGGGCCCTGTGGGCATCATGGATGTAGCCCCCCATGTGCCACCACTACAGCCTAGGGCCCTGCAGGAGCGGCCCGTGGCCTGTGGGGCAGAAGGAAGAATAGGATCATGATCAGAGTTAATGGGGGCATGCGCCTCCCCCGTCTGCAAAAACTTTCATTTGGCTTTAAATGCTTATGCTTGAGAGGCCAATACTGAAAGGTATTAAGACTTCCATACCTTGAACTTGTTTCATTCACTAAGGTGCGTCTACAGACACTGACGTTCCTTGAATGTGAAATTATATCACAAGTCATCTTTTTGACTTCTATGAGTATTTCCATAAATAATTCAAAAGCACACTCAAGCATACTAACATCATTAGGAAAATTTACATCGACTGGTGGAATTAGATGGTAATGTTGGGTCAGCATTAGCCTTCTGGTTTTGGTGGTTACACGAAGTTTATGAAGAGACTGTCCTTAAACTTAGGGAATGTACACTGAACGAAGTAATGAAATATTATAGGTAATGAGTCATCAGGTCTGCAACTTATTCTTAAGTGGTTCAGAAATGTTAACAATTGGGGGAACTGGGCGATGATGCATGAGAACTCTGCATAATATTTTTTGGTATCTCACCTGTAAATTAGAAAATATTCCCAAATTTTAAAACATTATTTAAAGAGTATTAACATTTGTTTTCAGAAACCTGCCATTGTTGGATCCTAATTCCTGTTACTAATTACAGATCAAAGAAAACGAAGGACAGTGAAGAACAGCACCTGATTGAGAACGACTTTCAGAATCTGAAACTGCAGCAAACGACAGGCTTCAGCTTTCCAGAAGAAGGGAGCATCTTCCCTAAAATCACAACCAGCTTCCCCAGAGACAGTGGGATGCACAATCCCTATGCAAATCCTAGAGCCATGCCCCGCCCTGACTATTAGGTGAGTCAGTGGGCTTCTGTTTGGCTTTTTTGAGTGAAATACTCCAGGGTGGATTAGGGACCCGGCCTATTGTATCTTCACCAAGCCCTGGCTGCCTTGCAGGGGGGGGGGAGGGTGTTTTGTTTTGTTTGTTTGTTTGTTTATAAAAAGAGAAAGAGCAGAAGAAGCTCTCTGCTATTTTAAATAGCCACCTCTTGGTCCCTAACACTGACCATCAATATGATTTTTGCTGTATCACTTAATTCCTTGGCCACCTCTTTCCTCAGTTGTTAAAAAAAAAAAAAAAAGAAGAAGACAAGCAGCAGCTTATATTAGATTCCTGTAAGGTCCCTTGTAAATACAAGCTCTTGTGGCTGTGACTCCAGTGGTTGTTTTGGGTTCAGTTATAATCCCCAGGCTGTATAACTAGGGTGTATGTCAGTCAGGCCTGAGTAGGACTGATGGGTGTCAACAGAGTTCGGTGGATCCTTTCCAGCAGGATCTCTCCTTTCCTCCTCCACTCCATATCAAGATAACTGGTCACTTCGTAAAGAGGTAAGGCAAACTAGGCTGGTGATTGTTTATGTCCCATGGAAGGACTGTCAGGGAGAATAGGTTGTGCTCATTACATCTGTATTGGATAATTGTAGCTGGCATTGCTCAGTGCAGCTGACCCAGGGGAAATGCTGAAAGGAGGAAGCCCATAAGAGGCGACTCTCATGGGCAGCGTGACAAGGGGACTGAGACGGATGGAAGATGAGATGGTGATGGAGGAGGAGACAGGGTGGGGGCCAGAGAGGAGTCAGAAAAAAGAAGGCAAGGAGAAAACTGTTTTGTTTTGTTTTGTTAAGTAAAAAGGAAAGAAAAATGGAGAAAGGAAAGAAAAGCTAGAGTAAGAGTTAGGCACACCCAGAAGAGCAGAAAAATAAAGAGGACAAAGGTAGACGGGGACACAGAGGCTGGTAGGTGGGCTGAGGAGGACAGGCTCAGGCTCCGAGGTCTCCGTGTGTACATTTCACCTCTGCAGGCTGCCCAGGTGAGCACACTACCCTCTAAGGATCTTAACACACATTGAACTTTCTGGGGAAATATGACTAATTTTTATTTTAAAATCTTATGGTTATGTTGCACATACACTTACCTTTAGACAAGGAAGTCCAGATGATTAACATGTGTACAAAGGGATGACTTGAACAATATGCACGACATTGGGTCACACGCAGGCTCTAGCCAGCAATAGCCATGAATGCATGTCCTGTGGGAGCGCCTGTTGGCCCCACCTATGGTGAGCCTTAACCTCCAAACTCATTAAAAATCTCCTTCCCTCCTTATCCATGGAGCCCTTACTCAGTACAACTCTAGCAGGGGTGTCCAACCTTTCAGCGTCTCTGGGCCACACTGGAAGAAGAGTTGTGTTGGGCCACACATTAAATACACAAACACTAACAAAACTGATGAACAAAAAAAAGGTTTGAAGTAAATTTACCATCTTGTGTTGGGCTGCATTCATAGCCATCCTGGGCCACATATGGCCTGAGGGCCACAGATTGGACACCCCTGAAAGAGAGCACTTTGATGTTAGAGTAAGTGTGGGATTTAGAGTCAGACAGACTTCGGTTCAAAGCCTTGCCCTTCCTGTTTTGAGCTGTATGACCTCAGACAAGTTATTTGACTTCTCTGGGTTTGTTTTCTCATCTATGAAATGGACAAAATGAATCCTATCTCACAGGACAAAAATCTAGCATGACGACTGGTTCTAATTTAAGAATAGTATTCAAATAATGTTAATGAAAATAATGTTAATAATTTATGAATCTAAATGTTCTCACGTGTTTCTCTTGGTATCCTTGTTTTCTAACAGTTTTTCTTTTCCTTCCCTCTTTCTCTCTTTTTTGTCTAGAATAGTAAGAATCTGGAACTATCCATGGCCCTCAACCCACTGTATGAGCCTGTATTTTGACTGAGAGACTGGTGGAGAAGTGAGCAACAGTGAAGATCTGGCCTTTGCTCTTTTTCTTCCATCTGATATCTAGCCTCTCTGAATGGAAGTTGTGAATGTTTGCAAGACTATAGCTTGTTTGCTAAATACCTATGAAATTAAACACACTTACATGCTATTAGCACTTGTAAGACAGTTGATTTTCTCCTATCAGTACAATGATTAGGGTTGTCTTTTTCCCTCCCTGGTGAACAACAATAACCATTTCCAATCTAGGGGAAAGTTCCCTAAGGTTGTTTACTCCTGGGAAAATGTTGCTCTTGAGTTGATAGCCTACAGATAAGTAACCTAATCTTGAGAGACTCATACATATCAGCTGTGGCAGTCACAGGCTGGGAAGAGACACCATTTTTTAATGTTCTCCTATCCCTCAGCTGTAGAGATTTTATTACCCTTGAAGCAGCAGGTGCTTATGACCTGGCCTCACACCAAGAAGACAGAAAAAAACATGTCTCTGCTTTTTCAGGAGGACCAGTAAAGTACAGGACCTTTCTGTGAATTAGAAGGCTTGGATGAGAAATGGCCATCCTGGGGTATAGTCTAGAGTTTTTGAAATGCCACTCGGTAGGAGAGACAGAGAGAGAAAATGTGACCAGGGGCAGGAGGAACAGAGGCAGGAGGAAGCTGGACTGGGAAGATGAGTAAAGGAGAAGGTACACAGGACCCACCTTCGTCCTCAGATTCCCTTCCTCCATAAGCAAATGGGCCCTCTCTCTAATTCATCCCCACCCAAGACTCAGAGCCTAAGAAAAGGTGTGAAGACAAAACCCCCAGGAGCAAGAACTTGAAGTCACTCTGAAGTTGCCGGCATTCTGTCTGGCTGATGGTGAGAGAGAGTGGTGCTCTGGCTCCGGCTGTCCAGCCTTGTGGTGCAGAGTCCAGAGGGACTTCACTCAGGTCTCAGCCTTCAATGGTGGCAGAGGCTCAGCTGTGGCCACCAACACATACTCACCCATGCATGGTGCAGCCACAACCAGCACAGGCTTTCCTTAACGTTAATAGTGTCCTTATTTATGTCTAATGTCTGATCCCCTTGCGAGTTATTTTTGTTATTATTATTCATTCTTGAATGTTCATGTGAAAAATAACAAATAAAGTATCTTTGGTAGATGGTATCCTTCCTTGTGTTCCTTGTGTTTGGGGCTTTTGGTGACGCACAAAGCAGTTAAGTCTCACTTTCCATAGCAACCATGACTCATGGCCAACTGGATTGACATCTGCTGTCCTCCTTAGGGGGCTGTTGGATGACCCAGGGAATTTTTAATCAAATAGTAGATATTTTTAGCTGCTTCCTGGTACACATCCCACTCCCTTCCCATTGTGAAGCGGCCAAGCCTTTCGGGTGGGAATGATTGGATCCTCAGCTCCCAGGGGTGGACTTTAATTGGCCCAAGCCAATCAGTGGAATCCCATCCCTGCTTGCTACAGTGATTGACCTCAGAGTGAACACTTGACATAAGGCTTATGCTCTAAGCAGATGCAATTAGAATGAAGCCCAAACTCTTGCAGGAGGCTTAGAGGAAGAGAAACCTCTTCTGGAGAATGGGCTTAAAGATGTGAAGCCTAGAAGTGCTGCAGTTTTGCTGAGCTGAGACATAAAGAAGGACAGAACTGAGAGAGCATGGAAAAATGGAGCCAGGGCTTATTATCAGGCCATACTTAAGGCCTCTGAACTTTACTGTCAGGCCAGTTTGGGTACAGGCATACCTTGGATATAGTGTGGGTTCAGTTCTAAACCATTGCAATAAACCAAGTTGTCATCTTTTTGCCTTCAGTTTGTAAGAAAATGCAACGTCTGTGAAGTACAATACAGCAAAGTGAAATAAAATGAGGGAAGCGTATAGCTGTTCTCGGTTCTGCAGCTGAAAGCATCCTCACTGATGCCACTTGTTTTCACTCGTGTCCTCAAGGCTTGGTGGTGAATGAAATAAAGGAAGTACACTCTCATCAGCTACTACGGCTCACAGGGCAGACATTTGCCATCAAACAATCAGTTAACAGCAACAGAATTAATGCAAGCATAATTCAATATTGTCTGACCACTGTAACTTATAACCACAGACTTTATTTCTGACCTGCCTGCTACCTCCTTTACATTTGAAGATGGTTCTGGATTTAGTGCTACAAGTAGGCTATTTATTTGAACCTCTTTTCTACAGAGTCCCACCTCTTGTGCCCTTCTACACCGGGGAAGACCAGCTTCTATTGCTTTCAAAAGGTCCCGAGACATACAAGCTCTGGGTATATGTACAGTTTGTTGTACTTCAGTTATGTCTCAATGTGATGTTATGATTTATAAGAAATATACATTTGGTCATTCACATGACCAAAATATATTTCTCATATATATTTGGCCGTGTTCACAATTTCTGCCTCACAGCTCCTGAAACTCGTGGAATTTCTTATGTGTGGAGAATGACAAAGTTGTCTTTTTCACCATGCTAGTGAGGTGACTTTTGGAAATCATTCACCTAAAGAACCAGTGGAACCAATCATGTGATTGGAAGGTTGGAACTTTCAGTCCAATCCCCAAATCAAGCACCGACGACCAATGATTTAATCAATCATGACTAGGTAACTGAAGCTTCCATAAAACCCCAAGAGAATGGGGTTTGGAGAGCTTCTGGGTTGGTGAACACATGGAGATTTGGGGAGAACGGCATCCCAGGAGAAGGCATGGAAGCTTCTGCCCCTTCCCACATATCTTGCCATGGGCATCTCCTCCGTCTGGCTGTTCCTGAGCTATATCCTTTTACCATAAACCAGTGATCTAGTAAGTTATATGTTTCTCTGAGTTCTGTGAGCTGTTCTAGCAAATTAATTGAACCCAAGGAGGGGGTCATGGGGACCTCTGATTTATACTCCCAGTTATATGGGAGTAGAGATGACAACCTGGACTTGTGACTGGCATTCTGAGTTGGAGGGGGGAATAGGAACCTCCAGCCTGTGGCCAGTAGGTCAGAAGCACAGCGTGCAGGTGGAGTCTGAAGTGGGGGCCAGGGAGCTATCTTGTACTCCTGAATCTCTAACCTGTGGAGTCTGATGCTCTCTCCAGGTAGATAGTATCAGGACTGAGTTGAATTCTTGGGCTCCCTGCTGGTGTCTGAGACTTGTTCATTGGTGTGGGGGAACACCCCGCCATGGTGGAATTAGGTCTACAACCCAGTTTACTCAATAAAGCTCTGATTTTTGGTTTGTTTGTTTTAAAGTGAAGGGATGGATTCTCATGCAGGGACCTCTCCAACCTTGTAGAGGGCATCCTGGGGTCACAGCCCTAACACAGAACAAGAACACGTGCATGCCATCCTGCTGATCTCTGCATTAGACTGAAAGTTCTTTGAGGTCAGCAAGGGGTGAAACCAACTGGGGATGGGCCACTGCCCTGACAGATGTAGGACTCAGCTGCACATGGAGCCACCTGAGGAGATTTAAGTCACGGATGCCTGGGGCTCAACCCAGGGCACTTCACCGGTGTAGGGTAGGCCTGAGCATCTTGATTTTTAAGCTCCCCCAGACACTGGAATGTGCAGTGGAGCTTGAGAACTGCTGCTTTCAATCAGTGGGTTGGCTCCTCACTGCCAAGCCCCAGGTCACATTAAACCAGAAGTCCACTATGCAAGAAGTTTCGTTGGCTCCCAGATTCCTTATGGAGGAAGAGGTCAGGCATATGGGTGGCATTGACATCAAAAGAGGTTGAAACAAATCTTTTGGGGAGTTTTGCCCCTGAACCACCACCCCTCTCGCCTCTTCCTACCAGCTGGGCAAATTCCATGGCCAGTAGGTGCCGCTGTCTCCCATGGCTTGCAGCAAATCCGACTTCTCGAGGGGCAGCTCTGTTAAAGGGCTAGTTTGAAATTGTTAATGTTTAATGCATTGATTTGAAAAAAAATGTCCCATGACTTTTACTTTCTCTCTTTCGCTCTTGTGCCAGGGAAACATGAATGTTACTGAATTCACTCTTGTTGCAATATTCACATTATTTTTACTGGATCACTAAAGGTCATACATTGTTCCTTTTCATGGGTCCCAGAATATCTTATGTGTACCAAAGCAGTGTTAATGTCATATTAATGGTGCAAAAAATTTGGTACAGTTGTGTAGATAATCACCGTTTTATGTAAGGGTGTTTTGTTGTTGTTGTTGTTGTTTCAAAATAAAAAAGGCAATAAATCCATTTTTACTGAGAATTTTTTTCAGTTAAGATAAAAACAAAACACCACCAGTGGGAGGTCTTTCATCAGCTTTTAGAAGGTGAGCAAGGTCTGGTTAGGGGTTTTTTTTAGAGAATGATGCTGGGAGAGTCCAGGGGTACAATATGAGTGTCTTCTCAACCTCCAGGCTGTGAAATGTGGGTTCTTTTCAGAAACAGAAATGAAGACCTAAAAAAAAAAAAAAAAAGAAAGAAATGAAGACCTCATAATGTCTGCAAGCCTGGTAACATCTTTTTTGAGCCCACAATTATGGCATGTGGTCCTATAAAATAATTCTCTTCTGCTTTCAGAAGACAGCCACTTTGAAAAACAAAACAACAACAACCATTAATATTATGGAGTATTTAATATGTGCCAGCACAATCCTCAATGCTTTGCATATACTATCCCCTTGAATTCTCATGAAATAATGCAGTAGGTACTATTACGAATTCTGTTTGACAGCTTGAGGAAACAGAAGAAACTTGCCCCAAGTCACATGGGTGATGAGTGGCACGGAGAGCATTCGAACGCAGGCAGTCCACCTCTGGAGCCTGCCTCTCTGTCATTTAATGCCAAAATGTTGATATGTAGGGCATTTCAATGGTCAATAGAGACAATGAGACATGTGTCTGAAACTGAGAGGTTCCTGTATTTATCAGGCATAGTGCCAGATAAAAAATAGAGCTTCCTGGAGCTTACAGGTTAAAAGGCCTTTATTACCAAAAATGAAATATTCCATCTAAATTTATGCAATTGTTTACATTTCAGAAAACACTCTCTCCATTAAAGTAACTCATCCACATCTATCTGAAAAATGCCCGCTGCCCATTATTTATCACTCCAGGCATGGCTTCCATCCTTGTCTGAGGGGCCTCCAGCTTCTGTCTCCATTCTCAGACCAGCTGTGGTATCCTGCCCTTTTGTGGTGTTGCAGGAATGTTTCTTTTAAAAATTTTAATGTTTTTTAAACATTTTCTACTACGTTTGATATTCAATATTATTTTATATTAGTCTCAGATGTACAGGCTGATTAAACAATTATATAATTTACAAAGTGATTCCCCCATTAATTCAAGTACTCACCTGGCACTATACATAGTCATTACAATACAGGGTGAGGAAAAAGTAGGTTTACAGTTGTTCATATGGAAAATCATACAATAATTAATAAATAATAATATAAGAATAAAGTCTGTGTTTCAAATCAACCGATATTTGCTTTATGTATTGAGGTGCTCCTATGTTGGTGCATAAATGTTTACAAGTGTTATATCCTCTTGTTGGATTGGTCCCTTTATCATTATGTGACATCCTTTGTCTCTTATTATAGTCTTTGTCTTAAAGTCTATTTTGTCTGATATAATTTTTGCTACCCTAGTCTTTTTTTTTTTCATTTCATTTGCATAAAATGTCTTTTCCCATCCCTTTTCTTGCAGTCTCTGATATTTGGATCTGGAGTGGGTCTCTTGTAGGCAGCATATATGTGGGCTTTGTTTTCTTATTCATTCAGCTACCCTATGTCTTTTAATTGGAGCATTCAGTCCATTTACATTTAAAGTGATTATTGGTAGATACATATTTATTGCCATTTTATTATATATATTTATGTTCCTCTTCTTTTTCTTTCTTCATCTCAAAGAAGTCCCTCTAGCAGAGACAGGAAGCCCAGGTAGAGAGGATGTGTGGTAAGGCAGCAGACCACGCAGGTGAGGTGGCAGCTGGCAGACGGAATATCCCACATTCATGTGCAGATAAGCTGGGAGGAACAACTGGGGAGCAACACAGACTGCGAAACCCAAGGTTCCAGTGTGGGAAAATAAAGCCTCAAAACCTCTGGATGCAAAAACCTGTGGAGGTGAGGCAGCAAGAGAAACTCCCAGTCTCAAAGGAGAATATGATGGAGAAGCCCATGAGATCCTAGA